AAGTTTTTCTTCACGATCCTTTGAGAAGACTAGCTCTTGTTCTCAAATTACACTGATAAACGCAGGATTTGTGACATGACAATTTTTGGGTGTAACTTATGTATTTTGATACCCTTAAATCAAATCTAAAAACAGAATTTTTCTATCACCCAAGATATTCGGTAACATCTACTTTTATGAATTACAATACGTAACATCTCATATTGTTGCATTTCTCGCCGTTTATGCGATGACGCACATATATAATGTTAAGACCTGTCTATTCCTGTTTATAATATGCGACCTCTGTGTTTAGAGAGCAGATTGCATTTATTAGTAGACTAATAGCAGCCGCGTCAGTTACGTTTTCTGTGTTGAAGAGTACCGAGATGTTCTGAGTACTGTTAATTTTTGTTAAAACGGTGTGTTGTTTTTAGGTTATTGTGATCGAGACTAGCTTTATGGACAATGCCTAGAAATTGTGTGAATAGTGCGAACAGTTTTTGCTATGTGTGCGGAGAGCTAACTTTTAAATCCCAAAAACGTACTTCTACTCCCCTTGTGTTGAAAGCATACGAACTTTATTTTGGAATTAAAGTTGGCGACCAAGATAAACTATGGACCCCTTATATATGTTGTAAGACTTGTGTAATGTTGTTAACAAGTTGGTTAAGAGGCGACAATCGTAGAATGCCCTTTGCGGTACCAATGGTTTGGAGAGAACCGAGAGACCATACTACTGATTGCTATATTTGCCTCACAAATATTAAAGGTATTGGACCAAAATCGAAACATACTATTAAGTATTTTAATTTACCATCAGCTTTGCGGCCCGTTAAGCATAGTGCTGAACTTTCTGTCCCAGTTCCACCAGAATCTTGGTCTTTGAATGAAAAAGTCGAATCCATTGATTCTGAATGTGATGGTGCAGAAAGCGTAAAAATTTCCGATCCTTCGTTTGACCTGCCAGGATGTTCAACAGTGCCGCATTTGATCACACAGCGCGAACTTAATGACTTAATTCGAGAATTAAATCTGTCAAAATCCCAATCAGAATCTTTAGCGTCAAGATTAAAAAGGTGGAATCTTCTCCACGGTGATGTTAACATTTCTTTTTACCGAAAACGACAAAAAGACCTCTCACACTGTTTCCGTCAAGAACGGGAGTTGACATGTTGCTCCGATGTCAACAATTTTTTGGACGCGTCAGGACAGAAACATGACCCAAATGATTGGCGTCTGTTTATTGATTGCTCTTAGCTTTATTTTAAATCGGTATTGGTACACAACGGTAGTAAATATCCATCTGTACCTATAGCGCACGCAGTTCATATCAAGGAATCATATATGAAAATATGCGAGTTCTGTTAGAGCATATCCGTTATAATGAATATGGATGGACCATAATATGTGATGATTTAAAGGTAATAACCCTTTTTCTTGGAATGCAACTTTGATATACCAGATATTGTTGTTTTCTTTGTGAATGGGACAGTCGTGCGCGAGATCGTCATTATGAACAGGAGTGGCCACTACGTCAGGTATTACCTCCGGTCCTCAAAAACATTGCTCATGAACCACTAGTTCATCCCAAAAACGTGTTGCTTCCACCTTTGCGTATTAAGTTGGGACTGGTGAAAATTTTTGTGAAAGCTATGGATCGAAATGGAGGAGGGATTCTGCATTTAAAACATTTCCCAGAAAGTGAGGCAAGCATTAAAGAGGGCATATTTGTGGGACCACAAATACGGAAAATCATGAAGGTTGATGTATTTGACAGTGGTCTGGATGAAACTGAATTACGAATGCTTTTAAATCAGTTACTGCAAATTTTTTAGGCAATGTGAATGCGGACGATTATAAAGATATTGCGAGTGAACTAGTTGATGCTTATAAAGGAATGGGATGTAACATGTCTCTAAAAATTCACTTTTTGGATTCTCATCTCGATTATTTTCCGGAAAATTTAGGTGCGGTAAGTGATAAACATGGTGAACGGTTCCACCAAGACATTTCGGCTATGGAAAAACGGTATCAATGCAAATGGAGTGTCAATTTGCTTGCTCATTATTGCTGGACATTATTAAGGGGTACTTCAGGAGCAAACTATCGTTGTAAGACATCGACAACATTCTGGGATTAATGTTTATTCGAGTGTTTGTTAGTACTCTTACACACATATCATTATATTTTACGAGTATAACCAGCAAATAAAATGCCTTATTGCAAGAAAACCGTGGGTGATAGAAGAAATCAGATGCTATTTCCGGCTTTTTGGGTATGTTTTACATAATAGCCGCCTGGTTTTGTCCATGTGACAAAAAATATTTTAATTTTGTTCACCAGTGTTATTTTATGAGATTTGGTCAAGTTATTTTCTTTGTAAATTAAGAGAATAAATATATTATATATATGGACAGAACGTGTCATGGTGACAGTGGACGGAAATCCGGCCAAACTCAACGTACCTACCCAATTTCGGACAAGCTTCCATCCGCGGGAGTACTCCGTGATTCTACTTGAACTCACATGTCATTTCTTGGACATGATTTTGAGACAAAGCATGTACACCTGTCCAGAAGTTCAGGTACAAAAATGAAGCTTAGAGCAGCCTTTTGACCCTATACATCTCACTGTAAAATATAGAGTCTCCCAGGATAGCATATCATGAAAAGGTAACTCTAGCCTCAAAAAAATAATATACGCCACTCCACTATGGAGATACAGGCTCCTCGAAGACTGTACTGAAAATCTGTATTTCTCATATAATTTTTGAATGAAACTGTGTAATTCAACGAAATCGTGACAGCTAAGTAGCTCCTTGGCAGTGTCCATTGAAAACAACTAACTCATTAAGATCTCCAAGAACTGATTAGCCCTAACGCAACATTGCTGATTTTTTTTACACCCTGTATAATAATGGCTAAAAAATAAAATTTTTGGGAACCTTAATCTTTAGTTTTTTTTTGTTCAATTCGATAAAATGAGACGTGTTTGAGAGAAACAAACCTGTTTGCTCTTATCTATTTGCACAACAGTCGATCCCCAAAAAACTGAAATGTTAAAAATGTTAAGAGTGTGAAAATCATTCACGAATCTATCATCGAAACGACTATGTCTTCAAAATGGCGTAACCAGTATCAAAGTTGAGAGAGCTGTACTGATACAATGGTGTTTTTCTCAAATATGCCTCGAATATGTTTTTCACTGTCAAATAAGACTACATGTTTCTCAGCGTGAAGATGAGGTTTCCCAAAAGTGTTACGACTAGTCAGTTGCTGCCAGTCTAAATCAGCTAATGATTTTATTTGGACACTGTCGTATGAAGCACTAGTTGGTTACTTTGTTATAAGTTGCTTGAGAAGAACCTAGAATCTATATAGTGGAGCCTAGTAGGATATTATTTTAAATGAACTTTTATAATCATTTTTATGTTTTACATGCATCCGAGATAATAATAAAGTTTATTGCAAAAGAAAAAGTACAGCAGTAGTAGAGGAAAGACAATATTATACAATAAACGAATGGACCCAAAAAAGTTTCGCAGAAACTTGTGCTTGGGCATGAGCTCATGTATAAATAACTTAAGACTAAAAAACACATAAAAAAATATATGTATATAAAATTCATTAGACAAGTCCTGGTAAAATTTTTAAAAAGACACAATCGGGACGGAGGCGCAAAAATCGGGACGTAGACGCAATCGGGATAGAGACAATATTGAAAAAAAGGCAGTATTAGGTGAATAGACAAGAACAAAAATTGGTTAAAATAAGTCACAAAATGCAATAATTCAGGGGGTAAGAATTCAAATCAGTTTGATTTATACATTTTTTTTTTCATTTTGAACTTTCAAATATCTAGAGAGATTTCCGCTTTCAGTAGTAGTAGATATTTTTGATATCAATCGCTTGATGAATCTTGAGCCTATGCTGGTCCAAAATCCACAGTCGTAGATGCTTTTTCATAACCTTTGTATTTTTAATATCTTTTATCTGAGGGGGGATTAAGTTATATATTTTTGGTCCTAGGAAAGTGAAACTCCTCTGACCTATGGTATTTTTAGGCTTTGGTATGCTACTGAATGATCTTTGGATCTGGTGTGATGGTCATGTGGGAGGAAATTTAATAAATGCTTATGTTTTGTAATATATGTGAACACACTCTCAAAATAGAGTTGCTTACAATCACATATCTTGGATACCTTATATATCATATCGGTTGGATAGGTGTTAGTTTTGCGGAACATGATTTTAAGAATCCATTTCTGAGTTATTTCTAGTTTCCTGTAGTATTTATTCAACACCGGTCCCCATGCCAAAATTCCATAAGTTAACAACGGTTGTACTAACGTTTTGTATATGGTGCATAAGTCTTTATCAGAAAGAATTTCCCTAAAAAATTTAAATTTTGGTATAAGACATCTTAATCTCTTCGTTAAGCTTTGTATTTGTTTGTCCCATTTTAGGTGGCTGTCTATTATGATTCCTAGGTATTTTATATGATTTGCTGGCTTTACGACCACTACTTCATCTATGGGTGGTAATTTGATGTGTATGTTAGTGAATGTGGGACAGTTCCTATTATCACATGAAAAAGTCAGATATAAAGTTTTTTCATAATTGATTGTTAATATTTTATTATTGAACAAGCTTATAATGACTCTGAAATCCTCTTCAATAAGAGTCTTTAACACGTTAACTGTCCATGAATCATATGTGATTCATTAGACGTGTTTGTCTACACGCCCTTGAATCATATATGATGCATTGTACTTGCTTTGCCTTATGATAAGTTAAAAATTGGACGTTATATTTAAGCAGCTGTTTATAGCATGGACGTTTTAAGAAGATATTGAGTTTTAAATTTTTTTTTCCAGGGCGCATCATATATGGTTCGAAGACGAATTTTTTATGTTCGAAAAAATGATTCCAAAAGTCTTTTATTTACAACTTTATTAGAGGTTTAGCTTACAAAACAAAGGAACATGATTCTGAAAATACAACATAAAAATGATTAGTTCAGTTCTGGTTTTTATTTTTATGCGTTACAGCAAAACAAGATAGACAAAATGGCTTATTACATATGGAACAGTAAGTATCTACTTGCTTAGTTTTTTTGGTAGCAAACAGGGTTCCATGTTCGCTTTGGTTTTTTCTGTAGCATTCATGGCATCTTTTTCTTATAATTTTACCGTCGTCCTTTCTTAGTATTTTTGACATGAAGTGCTCACCAGTGGATGCTTCAGTCTGGGTTGTTGTTTTAGCTACTTCAAGAAGATATTCAATTATTTCTTCTGTAAAAAGCAATAGAGCCTTTTTTCCGTAGATATTTCGTTGTATAATAACCAACTATTAGTTACAACGGTGCCAAATATTAACTCAATTGCCACCTTTTTGTACCAAATCACGGACTTACGAACTGGTGAGTAGTAGCTACTAAGTTGATCCGATACATCAATTCCCTGCTTTCCTGAGTTGTAATCTAAAATGACTTTGGGCTTGGTTACAGAAACCCCTTCTTTATTTTTTCTCCCTGTATCTGCAATATCATTCCCATGGCAAGTTGATAACATGCAAACATCACGCTTATCATGCCACTTCAAAACTGTTATGTTGTCTCTTTGTCTAGCGATTATGTCCCCTTTTTTCAAATTGGTCTTAACAACTTCTTTTGGAACCCCCTTCCGATTTTTCCGTAGAGTCCCACAAAGATCTGTGGGACGACCTAGCAAATATTTAGCTAGAGGAATACTGGTGTAAAAATTATCAGTTATGATTAGCCGTCCTTCATTCAATAAGCCTTCAGCTAAATTTACTACAACAGATCCAGGCTGGTCTAACTCAGGAATTTTGGGATCATCTCCACAATAAATAGAAAAGGAATACGTAAATCCCTTTGTGGTGCATAATTTATAGATCTTTACACCATATTTGCTAGATTTTGAGGGGTTGTATTGTCTAAATTTTAACCTTCCTCTGAAAGGAATCATAGTTTCATCGATAACTACAATTTCACCAGCACAATATGTTTGCCTTATGTTTGAAAGCACCATATCTATCAAAGGCTGAACCTTGTATGTACGTGATTCATTATCCCTGTGAAGATTATTGTCAACAAAATGCCAACACTTTAGTAGTAGGGCAAATCTGTTATAAGACATTTATTTTGTGAAGAAGTGGGTGGAAATATACTTGGCTTTTTTTCCAATAATATTCTATACGCGGAAAGTTTATTATTCCCGTAAGCATGATGAGCCCTAAAAACCTTTTCATTTCGGAGATATCAGTATTTTTCCATCTCCGAAGTCTACTTGATCTTCGCAGTTGCCTATTGTTCAAAAATTGTTGAGCATATCTGTTAGTTTCTTGCACCATTAGCTCCAGAACTTCGTTATTTATAAAAGAAAGAAATATGTCCACAGGGCGCACATTACCATCAGAACCATCAAAGCGTATAATGTTTTTCAGAAGCCCTGATTTTCCAGTAAACTGATGTCGCTGCAACATCTTGACTGTACTTGACCACGGAATAGTGTCGAGATTATTGGGATTTGGAATATTATTGGCTATATCTTCATCGGACGCCACTGGAGAAGATCCATTACTATCGCTACTGTCATCACTTTCTGATCCAGAATTGCAGGTGAACGTTTCATCTGCTATACTGTCGTCACTATCGAAATCAGAATCATTCATGTCACTCATATTGTCAATTTCCTCCTGGAGTTCTCTATCTGACAATGGTCTGCTGGAAGCCATTGCTGAAAAAAAAAATCATTGCATGCCTCGTGAACCACACGGCTGAGGTAGAATTTCTATGACATTTTCTAATTTATTTTGCAGCACATGTGAAGACGTCCTGTACATACTCAAAACTAAATATAAAAAGACTTTCCTGAAATAACTCACCATAAACTAAAAATAGGTAAGAATGGATTGAAATTGCGCCGTACGAAGTTCTACCTCAATACAATCAAATTCCAAATGTTTGTAGAAGGAAATAAATTCAACTGAACTTACCAAAATAGTCCTGTTATTAGCACTAACTGGGTTTAAATTCAAAGTAAACAAACTGCTAATCATGCCGCACTCATACCCCAATCGAAGAATGCCATTCCCAAAGTCTCTAAGACTCTAAGCGTCAAATCTTCATAGACAAAATACGACTAGATTAGGTATCCTGGCAAAATAGATAAAACGCAGAGCTCTCATAAAGCTCTACAGTGGCGCTTGCGCGAGCGTGTGTCAAACAAAGATAGCTATACCACCCAGAGTGATCTCCCGCATTTCACTTTTATACACAGAGCGGCCAATACCCTGCCTAGTCTAGCGGCAATATGTCTATGCACAAATCACTTGCTCGGGTATCATCGGACTTATGTTCACATATGATTCATGGACGTGAGACATATATTATTCTAACCAATACGTTCATTAATCATATGTGATCATGGAAGATGGAGGGGAGAGAGTGATGAGATTTTGTCTATAAAATATAGTTGAAAACACTTTGTAACGGAATATTACAAAAATATGTATGTGGCATAATGGACGTGTTGGTGGAATCCAGAGAATATGCTTGGACAGTTAACGTGTTAAGATATCCCAAGATTTTTCGCTATAAAAAACAGCCGTATCATCTGCGAATCCGATAATTTTACCGTGTGTGTGTAGGTTAAAAAGATCATTTATATACAGGTTGAACAGGATAGGTCCTAAGGCTGTACCTTGTGGGATACCGTATGTTACATGATGCAAGTCGCTGATGGAATTATTAACTTTTAAACATTGATTCCTATCTGAAAGGTAGCTTTTGAGTAAAGTATGTGTTTTGCCACGAAATCCTAGATTCTCCAAAGTAGTTAGTAATTCTTTGTGTTCAACTGTATCAAATGCCTTCTTTAAATCTATAAAGACACAGGCCGATGGGTCATCAAAACTGCAATTGCATCTTGTGTGGATTTTCCTTCTTGGAAACCATAGGTATTGCTGCTTAGATAGAAGTCTATATTTAGCAATAAAATTAGTAAAACGGGCCGTCAAAACTTTTTCAAAAATCTTTGAGAAAATGCTTAGTAGTGAGATTGGAGATGTTGCTGTTTTCTTTTTTGGATCGCCCTCAAATGTGGACAAAGGACAAGAGGTACCTTACCTGACATAGTGAATGGATAGCAACTTGAAGCTGCGTCGAAATATTTAACTCACCTGTAAAGTAAACGATATTTCAGATGCCCCCGATTCGCATAAAATCAAACTGTCCCAACTTTTCCAATACAACTAACTCCAGGCCATTCATGAATTTTCTATCGCCTCCGGCAACTCCCGAACACGGCTCCCGGCAGCTAGCACAGCACAGCATCAGTTTTAAATAGCAATTACAGTTGCAACTTTTAATCTACATAACTCTCTAGAACGACCCTATAAAAGTCGACGAGGAAACTCAGAAGCTCTCTATTCAAAACGAAAAAAAGAACGCGACGCTCCAACGCTCCAAATGAAACTTCTACATTTGAATACGCCGACTAATGCGGTTTTCTATTTATGGCGGCACCGCTTTTGTGCTGCAGCTGGAAGGTATTGTTGTTGATGATGGCGCCGCTGCACTTAGATTTGTTTTTGTGGAAAGTAAGTGCATGTCTTTCCATTACTTTAATATCACGATAGGGATACATATTGGAACCGCCAATAATATTCAATTCGGTTTGTTATTACTTGAATGGTTTCTGTGACCAGGAAGGTGATGGAGAAGTCCATCTACAGCGCGTTTCACAACTTATCTGACAAATTGTAACCACATGCACTGTTACGAAAGAAGTTGATTTCTCAAAAAAATGCAATGAAAGTCCTTCAGAAATTAAGTTATATAGTTGAGTTTCAATATTAAATTGAAAAATAAATATCTGCATTTTGCGTTCATCGTCATGATATTAGAACACGCATTAATAATTTATTGTAGCAAATGTTGTACCAAGCAACTGACAAAAACAACGTACCGGGAATTTTGTTTTTCCACACTGATAAGAACGTGTAAATAGGGCTTAATCTGTATCGTGGGTGATCTGAATGAAGGACGGTCGATTTTTGTGAAGTTAGATAAGAAAGTATTTTGCGAGTTTATGTTTTTATCTATTTATTAATAAAAATGGCACATGTGTACACTAATGGGAAGTTAGTGGACACTGTTTTAGCGTACGTAGAAGCAGGGCAAAATTCGCGAGCAGCTTCTCGTTTGTGTGCACACCGATTTCCGAATAGGCACATACCACATCACGACACATTTAGTTCGATTGTTTTACGTGCACGTTTTAGTGGAGATTTGCGCCTCAGACGTGGAGTGGATCGGGGTCAGGTTCGCCCACAACGCGTTTTAAATGCCGAAGACGAAATTTTGGATATTGTAGCAGAAACTCCGGAAATAAGCAGAGGTTCCAGAAGTGTCACATGCAACAGCATGGCGCATATTACATGAGACCCAACTGTACCCTTTTCATGTCCAGAGTGTCCAGGCGTTGCTATCTACAGACTACCCCTAAGAGTAAGATTTTGTTAGTGGTTGATATTTTGGCCCCCGGTGAGGGTATTTTTACTCATAATGAGGTAACTAACCTGCATACGAGCCCCTTCCCACGTCAGTTGGCCCACTTCAAGATTTGTACAAAAATATGCCTTTATAAACTAAACATGACGAAACTATTTACTTCTAAAACAATTTATTTTCTCAAAACATTTTAGGTACACTGTAGTCGTAAAAAACACATATTTGAAATCACTTAGACCTATAACTAATAGAACATCTGAACAAATAAACTATGTGCAAATAAATGCGCGAAGTTAACAGAGCAACAATTGAAAGATTACCATTGGGTAACATCACCTTTATTTTTTATTACGGCTGAAATTCTTTGGGGCATAGTGTTAACCAAGTTTTGGCAAAAATTTGGTGTAAAACAATCCCATATTTCTTGAAGCTTTTGCCTCAGTTCGGTGATTGTACGAGCAAGATGTTGTCGTAGAACCTTTTTCATCTCGTGCCACAAAAATTCAATAGGTGACAGATCTGGACTGCTAGAAACCCATTTCAAAAGTGGTACAGTATTTTCTTCCATCCATTTTATAGCCTTTTTTAAGTTATGGCACGCTGCACCATCTTGCTGAAACACAAAATCTTGACCGGATGTCATACATTCTTCCATCACTGGTAAAAGCGATTCTTCTAAAATTGCCAAATATTTGTTTGTATACACATTTCCATCAATAAAATGAAGTTTTCCTACTCCTTTTGATGACATACTGCCCCAGACCATAATGGATGCTGGAAATTTCACTTTTCTCTTCAGACAGTCAACATGGAATGCTTCATTTTTTTGCGAATAACTCTAGTGCGACGGTCACCAACACAAACTTCGAATCGGGCCTCATCACTCCATTGTATTGCACACCATTGTTGAGGTGTCCAGTGTCTATGTGCTTTAGCCCATCTAAGCCGATTTTTCTTTTGCAGTGGAGTTAATAGTGGCTTTTCTTTGGCGTATAAACAAGTTGCGCAACTTTAGGGTTTTTGCTTCACTTTTTCATAAGAAAACTTACCTTGCAAGTGCTAAATCCCAGTTTGTGGGCCTCTCTATAAGTTGTGGACCTCGAAATTCTCCTTCCAACAGCGTCACTCCACAGAGCACTTAATTTTAAATAATTGGCACGCCTGTTTTTCACGATTATTTTTCTTAATGCTCTTCGGTCGGCATTTGTGATATTACTTTTTTTCACATATCGTGGCTTAATATTAACTGAACCAGTTACGTTATATCTTCTAACAATATTTCTCACACTGTACCGCGATAAGTCTAACAAAGTTGCAATTTCTGAGTTTGATTTCCCAGAATTAAAAAATTTAATTATCAGTTACCGAATTTTCTCACTAATAACCTTTCCTCTACCCATTTTGAAAACCTTCACTACCCAAAACTATTTTAAACGTATTCTGACAGATGTGATTAATAAAAACAATTGTCATGGCTTTTATTTTTCACAGCCACCTATGCGTTATAGACTTATTTTGCATTGAAATGAAAATAGGTTGATATGCTGTAATTGCAACATGTGTTATTTTTTAGCTGCAAATTTGATTAGGGAGTGATAAAGTTGGTATTTTCTACTATATATTATAAAAACATTTTTATTATTTATGTTTGACAAGAAAAAAACTAAGATTTCAATAGTTGGGCCAACTGAAGTGGGAAGGGGCTCGTAATACACACGTTTGGTCCTTTGAGAAACCTCACGCAGTGGTCCAGACACACTTCCAGCATCGTTTTCAAACGTGTGGTCAGGTATTGTCGATGAACGTCTAATTGGATCGTTCATACTGCCAGATCGGAAGGATGGTCACCAGTATTTGGAATTTTTTCGGAATGATTTGCCGGTCCTTCTTGAAGATGTGCCATTGGCGGTCCGAGCACGGATGTGGTTTCTGCACGATGGAGCACCTCCGCATTTTCGTGTAGAAGACACGCTGGATCGGAAGGGGTGGACCAATTGCATGGCCTCCACGGACTCCCGATCTAAATTCCCTGAACTTCTTTTTATGGGGATACTTGAAAAACGAGGTATACCGTACTCCAGTTCACAATATTGAAGAATTGCGTAACCGAATCACAGTGGCTGCCCATAAATTTGAGCCTTTAGGCACAGAAGGAAGGAGGTATATTTGATTGACTGCGATGAAATTGGATTAGACGCGCCCAAGTTTGCATTGCCGTCAATGGAAACAATTTTGAACGGCTCTTATAAGTAAGTGAACTGTTGAACTGTATTATTTTATTGTCTTGACTTCTGTAGGACTTTTTACATTTTTTTGAGAAATCAACTTCTTTCGTAACAGTGCATATGTTAAGTGTGAAACACCCTGTTTAGGGAGCTGGAGTATCTCCGGCATCATGGCTTCATTAGAGTGGTTTGCTGCTAGTCAACAGGAGACCGCCTAGCTTAAGTTACGCAACTGTGGAGTAAACAAGAGTCTCAAGACAAAATATATCAACTGATGCGCTAATACGATCGACTACGCGTGATCTGCGCCTCTAGTGGTAGCTGGAACCCCGCCAGTAGATTTGCTGGCTGA